ACTTAACGCACTGCAAGCACGTAGTGCAAGGGTTGAACTTGATTGAAGTCCTTACGGTAAACGTAGTGATCTGACCAATAGAATGATAGCATCCACGTGTGGTGGGCAGGATATTTGGGGAAAGTTTCATACTAAAAATGGTGCTAGCTGAATTTGATGAGGCACTTATCTCTCATGTTCAAAAATACCCGTGCCTTTACAACAATAAGAGTCCTGACTTCAAGGTAGTTTGGAAGAAGGAGAATGCTTGGGTGGAGATCTCCAAGCAACTCAAGAGTGATGGTACAGTTGGCACTTTATTATGATTAGTTCTTCACTGTACAATTAGATTATTATTATTATTGTAAGAATTATTGTTGTATGTATTGCTGCATAAAAAAGTAAATACATAGTAAATGACTATTATTGTGCGTTAATTGATGTACGAATGTAATGCATTTACGTTTTTAGTGGAAACGGTCTCGAAGCGTTGGAAAACGTTGAGAGAACGTTATACTAAAGAACACAGAAAATTACCTACAGGTACTGGAGCTGATTCTGTAGAAAAGTGGGAGTTCTATTCTATGATGGATTTTTTGAAAAATTTTGTAAAACATAGACGGTATACATAGGCTATTAACTAATTGCTATTATTTGTGTTGATAATTATTAGGACAGCAGTAATATGATATTTGAAGAAACTGTGCATGATAGTTCAGGGGAAGTTAATGAAAGCAGCTTTGAGGGCATGATGGAATCAAACTCGCAAGATAAATCTTCAGAAATCTCAAGTGACATCAGTAGTCCCACACCAATGTAAGAGATGATTGTTGCTTTAAAAATAACTACATGTATATAATATTTATAACAATAGGTCATCACCGGTATTATTAAAACCTATAAGACAAGTAAAGAAGCGCAAAGTAGAACTAGATCCAATAGATATTGAAATATTGTCGTAGCTAAAGCAGTCAAATGACGAGTCAACTTCACATGATGAAGAATACACATTTGGAAGAAGTGTTGCTCTGACCCTGAAGAGGTTAGAAGTAAAACAAAAGGCTCAGGCAAAGATTAGAATACAACAATTACTTTATGATATTGAGTTTCCATAATTGTAACAAAAATGATGATATTGTGTACTATTAATAAGAATCATTAAATTTTGTGACAATAATAATAATAGATGAAGTTACGTTGATGTAATGTGTTCTTTCTGCCACGGTACAGAACCAGGTCTCGAGTTAAAGTAGTTCATAAATGAATCTCGCACTTCAGCAGCAGACTTTGAGTACATGTTACTTCCAACGTGACGGACTGATTGAAGAGCATTACCATGACCCCTCCAATCACCAGGGATGACATTACCCTGTGGGTCTTCTCTATCAATGTAGCCAACAGGACAGTAAATTCTCCCTGAAGTTGGGCAATA